TTTCTCATTGTTTGAAGAACCGCTAGATTTTCTTGTTGTTGTTTTGTATGAGGGCTGTAACAAACAATTTTTATGGATATGATCTTTGGGAGATGGAAGTACTAGTACTCTATTAGAGGCAATGTTCTTTCTCCTGCTTTTAGTTAAAGGATAACGCTACGTAGTTAGATCGACGACTAAGCCTGTATGTATAAAAGAACTCATATAATCCATGATGACATAGCCCAATTTTTATAGGGAAATGGCCTTCAATGCCATCCATTTTATAATTTTTTGCCAAAATACCACACCTCCCCAAAATTTTTAAAACTACCACCTATAAATACATTTTTATTGTCCACTTATTGCCCACATAACACTTTTCTCTGAAATTGTGTTCTCTCTCTTTCTCTCTCTCTGAAACCCAGTTCTTCCTCTTCCTCTTTGTTTTCTTCTCTACCCAAATGAAGTCTTGCAGCAACAGTGAAAAGGAATTGGGTGAAATCCCCAGTTTTTGAAGTTTCCCAACAAGGCAAAGAAGAACATGTTTACAATTGACAAAGTGGATTTGATAATCTCACCGGTGGGTTCATGGCCCAAACCCCAGATACATCTTAATCAAGACTCCTAACCAAACCCACATGAATGAGATTGTGAAATCTGATACAAGCAAACCAATCCTCCCCATTTTGCGAGCACAGAAATCACCAACGCTTACGCTTTGCACAGAAATGGTGGCTGGCTAGTGCCCATTCTATTTTTGATCAACATGGAAGGACAAAGTAAACGAATCTTATTTATCATCAGCATCCCCTAGATGGACCTAGCAAAAAAAAAAAAAAAAAACCTCTTCTTCCAACTGCTTATCCATAAACAAGTTTTCATTTCAGATAAACTCTGTTTTCTAGTTTGTTTGGATGTTCTTGAAAGCCCACATAAACAAGTTTTCCTAAAGTTACTGTGTACATAAGCTGTGTGAGAACCAAGCAATAAGGCAACAAGGACATCAAACTAAGCCCAAAAGCAATACGACTACAATACAACCGCAATAAAATCACAATACGATTGCTGTTCTTGAAGACCGTAAACCCAGACTTCAAAACCCCCAAAATTGGACCCAAATGCTCAAACAATGGCCACCTAATGCCAACACATGCTGTCATATTAAGAAAAGATGGTTTTGTTTGGGTTTGTTTAGGTTGCAAAAGGGATTCGAAGAGAGGTAGAAATTAGGGTTTGGATTTGGATAGAGAAGAAAACAAAGAGGAAGAGGAAGAACTAGGTTTTGAGGGCAAAGCTGTGGGTTTTGCAGGTTGTTCTTGATCTTCTTCTTCGTGAGGAAGACGAAATTGGGGTTTGGATTTGGGTAGAGAAGAAAACAAAGAGGAAGAGGAAGAACTGGGTTTTAGAGAGAGAGAGAAAACTAAATTTCAGAAAAAGTGTTATGTGGGCAATAAGTGAGCAATAAAAATGTATTTATAGGTGGTAGTTTTAAAATTTTTGGGGAGGTGTGGTATTTTGACAAAACATTATAAAATGGGTGGCACTGAGGGCCATTTCCCATTTTTATACTCCTTGCTTATCCTCCTATCAATAAAATAATATCGCTTTACTCAATAAATTTAAAACAAAAACAAAAACCAATCCTCCACTAGAAATGTACACAAACAAACGAATATTAAAGCCAGTGTTGAATTGTTTGTTCATACATTTGGGCCTTGAGATTTATATGTATAGAGAAGTTGGCCCAAAGCCAATGTTGAATTCCCATTTACAGACAAGTTCATTGCGGAATCCAAAAAATCCCCAATAAAACGCTTCTTCCCCTCAAATCTAGTTGCCCCAGGTGTCCTCTCTTCTCGTAGGCTCCGCCCCAATCGAGCCGTTTGAATTTCGCAGCAACAACAGCAATCAGACAAAGATTCCATTTTCAATCACAAGAATAAAATGAGCGACCACAAGGCCGCAGCAGCACCCGATCACCACCCACCATCTCAGACCACGAAGCCTCTTCCTCACTCCGAAGACTACGCTCCCTACCCTAAGCTCGACCCCAACGACGTCGTGCCGCCTCCCCAGCCCGAAACTTGGACCTCTGTCTCTATTGCCTCTGAACCGCCGCCGAAATTGGAATCACCGTCAGCGCCGCCGCCTCCCGTCGCCGATCCGCCGGTTCACGTCGAGGCTCGAGCACCGATTGCCGGTGAAGCTGCCACCTCCATGCCGGCGGAGTCCAATCCCTACGTCGCCACTCCTGCTCCGGCTCCCTCCTCCTCCGTCAAGAGTGAGTATCAGTTTTGTGTTTTCAATTATATGTGTGTACACACACACACACACACACACACACATATATATATATATATATTTGTATATGTTAGGGTTTTGTTGAGGAAATGATGAATTTGGGAGTGTTACTGTGGAGGTTGGAAATGACTGTTTATTTGTTGTGTTATTTAGACAAGATGGATTCAGTGAAAGATGTTCTTGGAAAATGGGGAAAGAAGGCTGCGGAGGCCACCAAGAAGGCCGAGGATCTTGCTGGCAACATGTGGCAGCACTGTAAGTTTTCAATTCCAGTGAATTAAGCTGTTCTTCCGAGTGTTTTCAATTCAGTGAAAGATGTTAATTTTCCATGGTAATTGTCCTTTGCATCATTAATATTATGTATAAAGCCAATGCAATCAATTTCCATTCACAAATGCTTTGTTTAGTATGCTGTAAAACTGGGGTCTTTGTTTTTCTTAAATGATTAAACAATTGCATGGCATTTCTATGTGGGAGCATTCTGGTTTTTGCATGGAAGAAGAATGGTGCCAATATGCGTGCTGGGAGTTGGAATTCAGAAATGCCATCAATAGATGCGCTTTTAGATTGCAATGGATCTTAGAGTTATGGATTTTGCCTCTTGATTACTTTTTTCACTTACTTCTTTCTTGCCCCATTGTGATCCCATTCCTCATTTTTATGACTTTAATTACTCTGTTATTTAGTTATAGTTTCAGAGGTTGTGGTAGGAACCGTGAATCCTTGATGATTTCTGGGTTTAAAAATTAAAATCATTGCTTGATTTCATAGTAAATTCTGTGCTGTTTTATTTGTGAGACATAAATCATGTACTGCTGTTTCCCTTGAACTAGTGAAAACGGGACCTAGTTTTGCTGATGCTGCTGTGGCAAGAATTGCTCAGAGCACTAAGGTACTTGCAGAAGGTGGTTATGAGAAGATCTTTCGACAAAATTTTGAGACTGTCCCAGAGGAGCAACTTCAGAAGACATATGCTTGCTACCTATCCACATCTGCTGGCCCAGTAATGGGAATTTTATATTTGTCAACGGCAAAGCTTGCATTTTGCAGTGACGATCCCCTTTCATACAAAAATGGCGACCAGACTGAATGGAGCTATTATAAGGTATAGTGGATTAGTATTGTTTGCTTATTGCCATTGAACCATTTGCCACCTTCCTTGCTTGAATTATGACTTAGGAGCCATTTATGCTCGCCAATTGTGGTAGTGAAATTTGAATTTCTTTCAAAAAAATTCTGTTTTATAAATTTTACTAATCTCTTGTGTCATATTATCAGTGCTGAACGCACAGTATTAATACTAAGGAGGTAGGTTTTAATTGAAAATAGAAATTTCACTTTACTGATGAGTGTTTAGAATGATAATAAAGCATATTTTAAATTTGTTAATTCATTTGTACGTATGAAAGATACGGATACAATGATGAATACGCTAGTGATCGACCTTGTTCGTAGATCTTTCTAAGATTTTCTATGACAAGGACATTAATTTAATTCTCCATATAAGAGGGAAGCTTTGGTGATTGCACTTAACCTCAGTGGAAGTACATGTAATTTACCCTATAATCTTCAAGTTTCTGGTTATGTAGTAATTGCCTCCAGTTGTGTACTCCACTTGTAATTGCCTAATTCTTGGTTCATGAATTTTGTGGTGATTGGTGCAACCATCGATATCACCTTCTTTTGAAGGCTAAACAATTTCAAGTGGAATGACTTGGTGTTTCTTCTATTTATGATAAGTTAAGTTCCAAGAAGTGTCGACACATTTCCAAGTAGGTGTCGACCACATTTTCAATTCTTTCCCAGTGTCAGTTCAACCATGCATGTCCATGTCCCTTCATTTGTGTTATCTATATATCACTGTAAAGCCAAACCTTCTGAGTGGTGAAATCTCTTAAGCACAGAGAAACGCTCTTTGTTAATTTTACCCCTTTTTTTTAACCTTCTGGTATGGTGTTTCATACTTAAGGGGTTACAAGCAGTGAAATCAAAACTCATATATTTTCCCCATTTGAAGATCTATTGTGATCCCATTAGTCAATTTTACTTTTTTGCTTTCTTCCAATAATTTTTTTCATTTTGATGAATTTCTTCTGATAATTTTCAATGGTCTAGAATGAGTATTTATATTTTGAAATCTCTCTATTAGCTATGGACATAATCTGGTATAATTCCCTTCTCGTATGTAGGTGGTTATTCCATTGCATCAGCTGAAGGCAGTCAATCCATCAACAAGCAAAGTCAAATCAGCTGAAAAATACATCCAGGTGGTCTCTGTTGACAACCATGAATTCTGGTTTATGAGCTTTGTACACTATGACAGTGCTGTGAAATATCTTCAAGAAGTATTGCACCCCACCCAGTCCCAGCCCCAGGCCCAGCCCCAGCCCCAG